AGGTAATTCAAGTTTGGCAGTGTTTTTCTTTCAAAACTTTGTAATGATCTCAGTGCACTCTGTTTTGACATATATAGTTCCTGTTTTATTGCTAACCATTAGTCTTATAGTTTCTCTTTAAAAGTATTCTCTGGTTAATTTACAAATATTCACTCTGTCTCGAATTTTCAGGAATTTGACTATGTTGTTCCAAATAATGTTTTTCTTTATATTTCTCTTGCAGGAGGGTTCACTTTGCTTCTTGGATCATCAGTTGATGCTGTTCATCAGTTTTGAAAATTTTTGGCTACTGTATCTTCAACTATTTCTTCTGTCCCATTTCCCCCTTTTCTCTTTCTGGGATACCAGTTACATGTATATCAAACCTTTTGAAGTATTCCTCCTATTCTCTCTCCTTTATTTTCCATACTTGTTACTGATTTTCAGTTTGGATACTTACTACTGGACTGTTTTTAAATTCATGGATCCCCTTCTCTGCAATGTTTAATCTATTAACCCCATCAAATGAGCTTTTAATTCAGATATATTTTTGAGTCCTTGAGTATCCATTTCATTGTTTTTTAAAGTATAACTAAGATAGTGTTACATTAATTACAGGTATACATTGATTTAACAAATCTACACATTACTCAGTGTTCACCATAAGTACAGTCACCACCTGTCATTATACATTATTTCAATATCATTGACTATACTGCCTAAGCTTTTAATCTCCAAGACTATGTTTTTTTACAACTGAAATTTGTACCTCTTAATCTCCCTTATCCATTTCACACATCCCTTACCCACTGCCCCTCTAGCAACCAGCAGTTTGTTCTTTATATTTAAGAGTCTGTTTGTTTGCAGTACTACTTAAACAAGCCAAGATATGGAAGCAACCCAAGTGTCCATTGATAGATGAATGAATAAAGACGATGTGGTATACTGGGACTACACCAAAGTAAAAACTTTTGCAGTTCCTTTGTTGAAAACATCAACAAAATGACAAGGAAACCTGCTGAGTGGGAGAAGATATTTGCAAATGATATATCCTATAGGGATTAATATGGAAAATATATGAAGAACTCCTACAACTCAACACCAAAAAATCCCCAAATAACCTGATTTAAAAATGGGCAGAGGACTTCAAGAGACATTTTTCCAAAGATGACACAGATGGCCAACAGACACATGAAAAGATGCTCAACCTCACAAATCATCAAGAAAATGCAAATCAAAACCACAATGAGATATCACCTTACACCTATCAAAATGACTAGAAGCAAAAAGACAAGAAATAAGTGTTGGTAAGGATGTGAAGAAAAAGGAATCCTTGTACACTGCTGGTGGGAATGCAAAAGGATGCAGCCACTGTGGAAAACAGTATGGAGGTCCCTCACAAAATTAACAGAAATACCACATAATCTAGTAATTCCACTACTGGGTATTTACCTAAAGAAAACAAATGTGCTAATTCAAAAAGATATATGCACCCCTACGTTTATTCCAGCATTATTTACAATAGCCAAGATATGGAAGCAGCCCAAACGTCACTGATAGATTGATCAATAAAGAAGATGTGGTATATATACAACGGAATTATCACTCAGCCATAAAAAGGAATGAGATCTTGCCATTTGCAAAATATGGATGCACCTAGAGGGTATTATGCTAAGTGAAATAAGTCAGGCAAAGATAAATACTGTATGATTTCACTTCCATGTAGAGTCTGAAAAACAAAATAAACAAACAAAAAACAGAAACAGACCCACAAATACAGAGAACAAACTGATGACTGCCAGAGGGGAAGTAGGTGGAAGGATGGGCAAAACCGCTGAAGGGGAGAGGGAGATACAGACTTCCAATTATGGAATAAGTCATGCGGACAAAAGGGGCAGCATGGAAAAACAGCCAATGGTATTGAAATAGTGTTATACGGTGACATATGGTAGCTGCACTAGTGGTGAACACAGCATAATGTAGAGATCTGTCCAATCACTATGTTGTACACCCGAAACTAATGTAACATTGTGTGTCAACTATATTTCAAAAGAAAAATGTTTTAAAAAGATGATGGGGGGCACCTGGGTGGCTAAGTTGGTTAAGTGCCTGACTCTTGGTTTTGGCTCAGGTCATGATCTCTGGGTTGTGGGACGGAGCCCTGCCCTGGAGCAGTGCAGAGTTGGCTTAAGATTCTCTCCCTCTCCCTCCCCTTCTGCTCCCCCACCCCTGCTCTGTCCCTGCTCATGCACACACTCTCTCTTTCTCTAAATAAATAAAATCTTTAAAAAAAGACGATGTGGTACATGTGTATTTATACACATACATATATACATACACATACACAATGGAATATTATTCAGCCATAAAAAAAGAATGAGATCTTGCCATTTGCAAAATATGGATGGATCTAAGGGGTATTATGTTAAGTAAAGTAAGTCAGACAAAGACAAATGCCACATGATTTCACTCATATTTGGAATCTAAAAGACAGAACAAATGACCACTTGATTGATTTTGATTCTAATTTTAATTCTATTTTCTAGTAATATTTTAAATGTCTTCATTTTCTCTTTTAAAATATATTAATACATTTTAAAATATTTGTTTATAAACTCTAATAAAAGGACCATCTATGAAACTGCTTCTGTTATTTTTCTCATGATTATTAGTCACATGTTCCTGTCTCTCCCTGTGTCTAGCAACATATGCCTCTCTGTTTCCTCAGTAACTTAACCATTTTTCTCTACTTGTTGTACCAGGAGTGTTGGCCTGCTGTGACTCAATATCTCTTTCTTGGAAGTAGAAGTCTTCCTTTCCTCCTGGGATTTCTTTTCTTTCACTGTGAGAATACTAAGCTATCATTGTTTCTATTTATCGAGAAACTGCTTTTGAATGGTGGATACTATTGGTTGATTCTGTTCTTAATTTCATTTTTAAAAAAGATTATTTGAGAGAGAGAGAGAGCGCGAGTATGAGCGGGAGGGGCAGAGGGAGAAGGAGAGAGAATCCCAAGAAGACTTCACGCTGAGCCCTACATGGGGCTCAATCTCACAACACTGAGATCATGACCTGAGTCAAAACCAAGGCGGACACTTAACTGACTGTGCCACCCAGGTGCCCCCTAATTTCATTTTTATCATCAGAAGATTACACTAGCACCTGAGCTGCTTAAAAGTCATCCAGCCATTTCACCTGCTGAGAATAATGAACAAGATAATCCTCAGTAAGGCCAATATCAATGGCACAAAAGCCAGAATAACAATAATTTTTTACCCACAGAAATTCTTAGGAATATACACACACACAAAACCTGTGCTATAGTAGAAAGAGCACAGAATCTGAAGAAAGAAAACCTGGTCTAAACCTCATCTCTGTCAATTTACTAGGACAGTGACCTTAGACAAATAATTCTTCTACTTTGATTTTCAATTCATTAAATTGTTGTGAAGACAAAATATATTTTAAAGACCTCTGTGAATTATAAACACAGTGTAAGATGCCTTATTATCTAGTTTCTAAATCTAGAGATCAATGATAAATTAAATAAATATGGGGACATGGGTGTAATAGATATTGATGATAAAAACTGACAACCAACATTATGGTATCAAAGGAAGAGTCAAAAACAATTTTAAAAGTACCAATTAGAGCTAAGGGTGAGCTAGTTAATACAGGCTTAAATAGCCCCTACATATTTCAATAGACCCTGAAGCTATTACTCTATCTTGACACAGTATGGTAATTGGTATTTATGACAAGAAGCTTGAATTTGAAAGTAAATTCATATCCTATAATATTACTATTAAGATAAAGGACTATCTAATAAACTTTGGAAAAACTCCAATCAAAAATGACTAAAATTGGGGCACCTGGGTGGCTCAGTCGGTCAAGCAGCTAATTCCTGGTTTCAGCTCAGGTCATGATCTCGGGGTCCTGGATGGAGCCCCTCATTAGGCTCTTTGCTCAGAGGGGACTCTGCTTGAGGATTCTCTCTCCCTCTCCTTCTGCTCCCCCCTCCCACGGCTCACACTCACACTCTCTCTCAAATCTTAAAAAAAAAAAAAAATGACTAAAATAAAAATTCCAGTTGGGTGATATACAACTAGATTAGTTTTTATTTAGGAGCCAAAGGTTTTATATCATGTGATCTTAGAATGATTAAGTTTGTAAATAAAATGAAGAATCTGCATCACTGGCTCACTTATACAAATGGAAAACTCTGTAAAAGGTATGATTTTTCACAAGGGAGAAGAAAAAAAATTAATGGACTGTGGTTAAAAAATGATTATGAGAGAGGGTGAAATCAACATACTGGGAGTATGAAAAGCAAATGGAAAGACAAGATGACTACACGAAGGAAAGGCCAGAGAGGGCATGTGGCACAGGTTTCTGAAAGCAAGAATCATTTGAAGGAATGCTGAAGAATGGTTGTGAAGTAGTTAACACACCAGGCTTTAGTGATGTTTATAAAAAATACAGGAAATAGTATAAGTGAAATAAAAGTGGACTAAGAATAGTTGTAAAAGTATATTTACAGATGAGTTAAGGAGACTACTAGAAAGCTGATTACAGAAACAGACTTAAAATATCAAGGTTATCCAAGAGAAAACAAGATTTCAAAAAGTACTAGATAGAGGAAGTCAAGAACCAAAATGAAAAACAGGTACACAGTCTAATATAAAAGAAGAAAATCAGTATTTTGCTGTTGCTGAAATGGAGATAGTACCAGGATCTTTTTCATAAGTCCTGTTATAATATGACTATTCAGTTACAATTTCCCTAAAACTTTAAATGTGTTAGGCTAAAATTAAGAGTTATTTTATCTTGTATTTAAAGGCAGCACAGGTAAGGCAAAAGTGGTCTAATTTTCATGTGCATGAAGATTTCATTGTGATAAGTATTATTATTTGCTAACTAAACCAAAGGCATATCAAGTTCTGAAATAGTAATATCTGAAAAGACCTCTGTAAAGACAATTTTAAAAATAATTTAGTAAGCTTATGAATAAATCACTATACCTTAGCAAGTGATTTTACAATAGGATTCTCCATAATCCCCTTGAGGAAAATTAGGTCTATTTCTTCTGCTCCTGTAGATGAGGGCAGCTCCGTAAGGTTATCCAACACTTGCTGCATTGCTGCTGAGATAAAAGCAATAAAAAAAAACAAAAACAAAAAAACCAAACCCTTAAATTCCAAGCCATTATGAAACACAAAATATTTGGTATATTTAAAATAATTCAAATAAAAAGACATTAACAACACTCTTTTGAAAAGTCATGTTTTAAAAAACTGAATTGTTAAATGGTAAGTTTCAAACTGAATTCCCGTGAAGTAGGAGGACACGTTTTTATACACAATTTGGGCTTTATCAGACTACCTTATACATACTTACCACTTTACACTTGCTTTATATTTTTTAAATTTAAAACATTACTCAAAAAATACAAAATTTTGATAGACCTATAAAAAAGTAAAGAGATGAATTAGTAATCAACAAACTTCCCACAAGTCCAGAACCAGATGGTTTCATTGGTAAATTCTATCAAACTTTAAAGAGGAATTAAAACCAGTACTTCACAAACTCTTAAAAAAAAAAATAGAGGAGGGAATACTTCCCAATTATTCTATGAGATCCTGATACTAAATCCACAAAAAGGTATCACAAGAAAATTATAGTCAATATCCTTTATAAATACAGATGCAAAAATCTCTAATGAAATACTGGCAAACTGAATCCAGCCATATATGAAAAGGATTGTACACAATGACCAAGTACACATTATCTCAGGAATGCAAGAATGGTTCATCAAGAAATGAAAATCAGTGTAATACACTGTATTAATAGAACAAAAAAACCAAAACAACTACATGGTATCTCAATGGGCACAGAAGCAGCACTGGACAAAATCCAAACCCTTTTCTTGATAAAAACATTCAAAAACTAGGAATAGAAGGGAAATTTCCTGAACTCGATGAAAGGTATCTATGAAGAATCTATAACTAATATCATATGTAAGGGTAAAAGACTGGATACCTTTCCATAAGATCAGGAACAAGGCAAGGATGTCTGCTCTTGCCACTTCTACTAAACATTATATTGGAGATTCTAGCCAAGGGAGTTAGGCAAGAAATAAACGGTATTGGAAAGGAATAAGTAAAACTATCTCATTCTGCAGATGACATGACCTTGTACATAGAAAATCCTAAGGAATACACACACAAAAACTATTAGAATAAATGAGTTCAAAAAGGTTGCAGGATTCAAGCTGAAAATACAAAAATCAAACATATTTCTAAATACTAGCAATGAATAATCTGAAAATGAAATTATGAAAACATTCTTTTTACAACAGCATCAAAAACAATAAAATAATTAGGAATAAACGCAACAAAAGAAGTGTAAGATTTATACACTGAAACTATAATAAAACATCACTGAAAATAATTAAAGAAGACTAAAATAAATATAAAGATATCCTATATTCATGGATCGGAAGACTTACTACTGTTAAGATGGCAACACTCCCCAAACTGATCTACAAATTTAATGCAATCCCTTTCAAAATCTCTAATGCCCTCTCTCCCTTTTTTGCAGAAATTGAGAAACTGATTTCAAAATTCATATGGAAAATGCAGTGGACCCAGAATAGGCAAACAATCTTCAAAGAGGACTCATACTTAATTTCAAAACTGACTAAAAAGCTACAGTAATCAGGACTGTGTGGTACTAGCATACAGAGAGACAAAAAACTTAAGAGTCCAGGGGCACGTGGGTGGCTCAGTCTGTTAAACATCTGACTCTTGGTTTCAGCTCAGGTCATGAGCTCGTGGTCGTGGGATCGAGCCCTGTATCAGGCTCCACACTCAGCAGGGAGTCGGCTTGAAGATTCTCTCCCTCTGCTCCTCCCCCCACTCTCTTTAATAAAATAAATAAATCTTAAAAAAAAAAAAAACCCAAAAAACAAAAAACAACTTACAGTCTAAAAATAAAACCTACATATCTATTTAAGGTCAACTGACTTTCAACAAGGGTTGCAAGACAATTCAACTGAGGAAAGAATAGTCTTTTCAACAGATGGTACTGGGACAACAGAATATGAATATGCAAAAGAGTGAAGCTAGGGGGCGCCTGGGTGGCTCAGTTGTTAAGCGTCTGCCTTCGGCTGAGGTCATGATCTCAGGGTCCAGGGATCGAGCCCCACATTGGGCTCCCTGCTCAGCAGGGAGCCTGCTTCTCCTTCTCCCACTCCCCCTGCTTGTGTTCCCTCTCTCGCTGTCTCTGTCAAATAAATAAATAAAATCTTTAAAAAAAAAAGAGTGAAGCTAGACTCCTATTGCATTCAATATCATATTAACATTATTCAGATTAAGTTTTTTAGTTTTATCTCCTCTTGATGTTTGTAATAAATCTACTAAAATTGCAGTTTTTAATTTTTAATTTTTATTAAAATAAAATATAAACGTTAAAAGTCAGACTGTACTTACTAATTGGCTTATAACGAAGTACGGCAGTTCTCTGTTCCATACTGTCCTCCTCCCTCCCAACTTATATTACTCTGCAGAAGTAACTACTTTGAATTTGTTATAGTTTCATTTAATCACATCTGTATTTCTGAATAATATGCTAACATTGCTTCTTTTTCTTTTACCCATTTTAGATAGTATTTATTTATTTTCTGTTAGAATACTAGAGGGTTAAGCTTTTACCTTCCTCTATCTCCAGACTGGCAATTTTTAATAAAGTCAACATACGGGAATCCTACAAATTTTCTCCCCCAAATGTTCTAACAAACTTTTCACATTTCTGTAATTTTTCCAAATGCTCAAGAATTTTTCCAACACTCTATCAGACCTATTCCCTGACTTCTACTCCTGAACTCCCTCCCAAAGTATTCTTCTCTTGTACTTTAATCTGGACAGGTTCATCTCTAGGCCTCCTATTCAGTCTGTGTAAATGAGTGACAATACTGAAAGATGTGAACAGAAGAAAAATATGCACTTAAAACAAGGAGAAGGAAAACCCATACTGGGCTAAAATGAAGAAAGGAGACCCAGGAAATAAAGAATACAAACAAAGCCTATTTCATAATTTTGTTTGGGGCCCAATGTGTGCCTTTCAGTGGGTAGAGAACAACAGAATCAATAATCTTTAGAAATATTTTTATCCTGTAACTATACAGTTAGCTCTACTTCCATGTTTTTCTTTCCTTTGATCTCGATTTGTCTTTATTCTTAACTTTCATTATGAAAAATTCCAAACATTTATAAAGGGAGACAAAATAATATAATGAACCCAATAACTATCAGCTCTAACAACTCATGGCAAATCTTGTTTCATACCCCTATATACTCTCTATACTACATAACTTTGAAGCAAATCCCAGGTATCACATTTCAGTGTATCTGTCTAAAAGATCAGGGCTCTTTTTAAACAATGTAACCAAAATATTGTTAACAACCTAATAAAATAACAATAATTTAATATCACCAAATTGTTATACTGAAAATCTTTTTAAAATGTACCTTCTATACTGGTTCTTGAGGTACTTAAATTTTTATATTGGTGCTTAATTAAGTGGGAAGAAAAGTGGTGGAGGTTGTAAAATATACCCTAGGTCATTTTAAAGATCTTCATAAATTGTTATTGATTCTTGATTATATGAAATTTAATTAAACACTGAATAAGTCTGCCAAATATCCGATGTTCTGGAAAAGGGATCTTGAATATTATAAAGTTGCCAAGCATTCCCAAATTAATTGGTACATTTAATGGAGTTCTAATCAAACTACAATAGACCCTCCCACATGTTTTCAGGTCAGGTCTGGCTTGTTCTTCCCCCATCAAGGAAATGGCCAGGGAGCTTCAAGGAACCTGGGCTGATGAGGCAGGGGAGCAGGGAAAACCAATGCAGTTCTGCACAAGTTGGGGAGGTCACAGCATCTGGCAGTAACTGGCTGTCCAAGGGCAACGTTGTGTTGGTGAATGTCTACGGGAATCTGGTATATGCACTGCTATTTAGTTTTAGGAAAAAGCAAATCATGTGTTTTACAAGGAAATCTTGAAGGGGATCTCATGTCCTTTTGGGACCCATGCCCCCAAAGACTTCAAAGAGGAGACTGATATTCTACTATTCAAGCTTTAGGATATCTGGTATGAACCCCAGCTCCTTGGGGATGGTGATGCAAGGTTGCTACAGCTGGAAACCCAGGGAAATCATAATTGTTACAACTGTCTGTCCAGGATGAAAGTTCTGGATGTCATCCATGCCCCTGAGATCCCATTTCAAGTAGAGGATGGCATCCTTGTTTCTTTATGGGCAAGAACTTCCACCCCTAGCTGCTAGATCTTTGAATCACTAGTACTCCTTTCAAGGGCCACTCAAAGCTCTCACTATACCCTATCCCTGCTGGATGGCTGAGATGGCCCAGTATGGGACAGGGGTCGGTAGCTAGAGAGAGTACTGTTCTATCAGGAGTCCCTGACCAAGCTTGCCACCATGGCCAAGGCACAGAATGGGAGCTCTCAGCAACAACAACAGTCAGTAGCTGGAGACCAAACCCAATCTCCTAAAGTCTCTCCAGCAACCATCAGGTAACATACCTCCCCCTCCAGTTAGAAGAGTAAACATGGCAAGCACCTCCTTGAAGAGCTTTAAGGACACTGTAACAAACTGTGGAGTACTCTCTGATGGAGCTGAAGGACTCCTGCTGAAGACTGAGCCAGACAGACTGCAGTGTGCTAAGCCAGACAGACCCGGCAGATGCAGCCTGGCCCAGCCAAAGCCTCATTGAGTCCAAAGCTTCTAGAGCTCATGCCTAAAGGATCATTCCCCAACCAACTCTGGTGGAGGTCTGTAATGGTCCTGACGTGCAAATCAGTCGTCCGACCTGGGTATAGGGGCGAAAGACTAATCGAACCATCTAGTAGCTGGTTCCCTCCGAAGTTTCCCTCAGGATAGCTGGCGCTCTCGCATGTGAACCCACACAGTTTTATCCAGTAAATCGAATGATTAGAGGTCTTGGGGCTGAAACGATCTCAACCTATTCTCCAGCTTTAAATGGGTAAGAAGCCCTGCTCGCTGGCGTGGAGCCGGGCATGGAATGCGAGTGCCTAGTGGGCCACTTTTGGTAAGCA